ACCTCGAGGAAGTGAGAGGATTTTTTATATTATTTAATTGCAGACAAATGTCACATACAGTATGTCAGACACAAAATGACTGCTTGGTCCATTTTGTGATTATATCAACATTCATCTAGGTTTTGGTTCAAATATAAAATCTAAATTTTTTTCATACCAGAACAGATTTACATCTAATTTTTTATTAATTTTTTTTTTAAAAAGAAATTACAAATTATAGAAAATATATTACAACGTAATTACTATAATTTGGGATATTTACAGGAAAATAGTCATATTAATGAGCACAGCAGGAAAGAGGGTTAGAAAACAGTAGTTTCCTGGCTAAAATGGGAGACTTGACACGTATGGATCATCTGAAGTAAGAGTATTCTTTGAAGACCATATGTCTTAATAGTTAATCCTTTCTGCAAGCTATATTGACCTCTGACTGTTTTCTTTGTCTTCAGGTGGCAGTAGTTGTGACAGAACCTGACTCGGAGCAAATAGAAGACATTTCCACACCACCGACTGAACCTCAGGTGGAACCAATTGAAGACATTGCAACAGAATCCTGAACTGAGCTTTCACTGCTCTCTCTTGTTGTTGTCATGTTCTCAGAGTAGAAAATTTGATCATCAGTAATGAAAATTTTGTTTTCAGGAACTCCATATGTTTAGACATTTGTTGATGGTTGCATTTGAAGGAAATGAAGCAAATGATTTTAAGTTAAAAAAAAAAAAAAATAGCCCTAGCAATTTTTGAACCCTTTCCAATCCATTTCCCTATACTGAATTGCAATACAAGTTTATAGGGAAATTTGGACTGAAAAGTTAATTCAGTTAAAGTCAATTAAATTAATTTTATTAAAGACAATTAAACTTGAGAAGCAGACATACAGTAACTGTTGATTGAACTTAAAGCTGAGACTGTGAGGTTGGTAAATCTTAAGAAGTTCAGGAATCAGGATGTACTATATTCTGTTCATAGATGTGTCCACTCTATAATTCCATCTTCATAATTTGTGTTGTCTGCTAAAATATGTTTTTATATAGCGCTTTCCTTGTCCGGTTGGTCGTCCAACTTGCTTTTCACTAGCAGTACTGTTCACTTGGCACAACTTCATCTGTACAGTTTTAACAGATATTGACATACATCCATTCATCAGCAAACTTAATCATACCACAGACTTTCTAATTGGCACACAGCGTCTGATCCCTAATCTATAAGTCTTAGCTGCACTTTAATTATTAGTTAGAAATATGAGAAATTATGCACAGAAATAATTGTATCCAAGTATTATTTTTCTTTTTCAAAATGTTAACCACTGAGTAATCACGGGTTCCACAAAATGTAAGCGGCCATTATTTTACTTGTAATTATAGAATAGAATTGAATTTAATTCTGCTTATAATCCAACATAGCTTGCTACTCATATGTATACTACGCACTGCTGTCACGTTTGGTCTACTGACTGGTCAGTTATTATTTATGAAAACCACATAATTATCAGTTATCTTCATATGAGTGTATAAACATTGCAATCACAGTGAAAATAAAGTTAATGATTTGAAAACTCAAACCGTATTCATAATTGATTTTTCGATTACCATGAATTTTACTGCTGTTGTGAATAAATAATACTAATAGTATGACAGCAGCTGAAAGGCCTTTATTTTGTCTTTGCAAAATCTCCCTTATCTAAGACTTTCCTTTAGATCCAATGGAAACACCTAAAACACAAGGTGAATGTTGTAGAAGATATGTTAAAGGGAACACCAAGTCAGATAAATATTTTAAAGCAATGGAAATGGTTAATAAGAAAAGTGAATATTCATCAATGTGGAGGTGAAAATTTTTTCATAGCAGCTGTATTACAATACCAAAGCAATTGGTTGCTTCTGGCAGTGATCAAAAAAAGTCACGGTTAACTTTTCTTTAACTTCTTAACTTCTGAAAACAGAAGTCAAAAGGTGAGTTCTGAAAGTTGTAGAGAATGAATTTAAAGCCTACACATGATGCATTGACATAAGCAGAAAGTGATGAATCTCATAAGTGGTATTTTATTAGGTTGTATGTATTAAAATTCCTACCCCACACTGTAAAGCATTTCATTGTAAAAAAACGAGTAAATTACTGGCAGCAGGAATGCCAGAAATGTACCATTTTTATCAGGTCATTCACTGTAATGTAATTTAACAGTATTTTACTGTAAATTGAATAACAGTAAATCAATAGCTTGTTAGATAGAGGAAAATTAGGAAAAAAACCCTCTTCTTTAATCTTGAAGTAAGAGGAGCAAGCAAAAGATAAAATTCACACGCTAGTTATTAATGATATTACCATAAAAACCCAAGAAGAAAGAAACAAGAAATTTTATGGTCATTTGAATAAATCAAACTATTCAAAGGATGATTGTCATTTATTTGTTGAAAACATTAAAAAGTCTCATAAAATAGTGGATGAAACAACTTCTAGCAGACAAATTATTTGTCAAGCGCATTTCCACTGGTGAACTATCTCCAACTATGAAATGGCCTCATTACTCTTATTCCTAAATCAAACAAAATAAAAACTTTTGTTGGAAAACTGGATCATGTAATGATTACAAACTCTTAGCGTATGTGTATGCAAACCGATTCAATATAAATAAATAATTGAATGTCAGTCAGCTTTTAATAGAGGCAGAGTATTCACAGTCATTTACTTGTTCTTGATATGTTAGATTGAGAATCCATTGATGGTTTAACTTTATTTTAACATTTTTACAAGATCTTTGATATGGTTGAACACAACATTTTACTTGCTTTAAACTTATAAGGTTTGCTGAAAATTTTTGGAACATTATAAAAATGTTTTACACTGATACATTTAGCTCTGTATTTCTTAACCCTGGTATGCAGGGGCACTACCAGGAATATTGGGCCCCATGACAAAAAATTAGATTGGGCCCCCCTCTGCACAACTACTGTTACAATTTTTTGAGTCTATCTAACCCATCAAAAGTATCATAATTTTAAAGGCTTGCCACTGCCTTGCTTCCTTTGGTCCAATACTGATACTAGCACAATATTTACTGCTATTTTACCTGCAACAGTCCGCATACAATACAGCAAATAGGTGGCTGAAATTTTATTATTATTAGTTTTATCTCATTGAAATGTCTCTTCCCACTTGCAACAGTCACAAAGTGCAAAATATACATAAAATAATCCAGACTTCTCAAAAAATGCTATGTAGTTGCATTTCATTCAAGCTGCAGTATGTAACTTTAATAAAAAAATATGTTTTTTCCACATTTGTACATTTGTTAAAGCTGTCACCATGTTATGACGGTTTGCTATGAGACAGATAATCTGTGAAAAAAATCAATCTCCTCCACCTTCTCCCTGAACTACTGTTGCAGAACCAGGAGGGGTTTAGTGTTGTTAATCAACTTCATTCACTCACTGATAAATGTGCTAATGGTGGAGAAACAACTTATTGTTTCAGGAAAACTGTTTATCTGCCGTCATTGATAGCTTTGTTAACTAAACTGAGCATTCACAGTTTGAATCTGCATAGCTGTGTGCTATGCTAACTGCAGCATAGCACAGAGCAAGGGGGAGGGAGGATGAGCAGCCACATGAGATTGTGATTGACAGCGCTAAAACCCTCTTCCTGCCTCTGGTTGTTTCTAGATACAATTGGGAGAAGGCAGAGGAAATAATTTTTTCACAAATTATCTCTCATGCCATACTGTCACAACACAATGACATTTCAAACAAATATGTAAAACAGCCGCTAAAAAACAAAACAAAATATATACTTTTCTTGACAAAAATGCATGTTTAGGGAAAATGAAAAAGGAAAGATATACATTTCTTGATGGCATCAAATGTGTAAGGTCAAGGAAAAACAAAATGTATATTTATGCTTTAATTTTTTATTACGTCAGTTTTGATCCTCCATTGTTAAAAAGTACAACTACAACAAAATACATTACTTTAAATGTACAGTAAAGGAATTTTTGCTTTTCTAAGTCATTATTGGAGATATTTGTTGGAGATATGTGTTTTGTTATGACTAGTTGAATACAGAAAATTCTATGTAATCACACATGTTCAGCAGAATGAAACAAAAACTATTTCAATACTTTAGTTTTGAAAACTGATTTTATTCTATTTTTTGTGACAGAGCATATTCAGTGAACTTTGTCATATTTCCAAGATGGCAAAAAAATACACATTAAAATTTATTAATTTAACAGTCTGCCATTTGACTATAGAAACATGTTTTTTTTTACTCATATAACCATCTCTTCTATGCAGCTAAGTTGGTTTGGTATAAAGTGGAGCTAATGTGCTAACAAAGGTCAAGTTAAGGACAAACATACAGCATATATAAAAAATAAAAAAATGCCTGATGCTACATTTGAAAAATAAAGACTAATGGAACTAAAATGTCCTTTTTAAAAGAATCTATGAAGGTTGTGACCAAACATTCATAGACCAAATATGTAACAAGAAATTCATCAGGAACTCTGACATCAATTGTCTTCCTGTTGGGAACCTCTGAGGGAAGGAAGGGACTTACGGGTGTAAGTCCCTTCCTTCCCTCACTAGATGTCCTCAGGGAGCAGGTTTGGAGCTGAGCCTCTCGGAGGTTCTCCCGCACACCTGCTATTCATCTTCCTTCATTAGATGAGGTATAAGAAGAGCCGGCTGCTGGTTCTCCGACGCCAGAGTGTTTGCCTACCTCTCAGAGTCTCAGCTCTTCGTCTGAAACCTCTTGAGTTCAGAGATCTCCTATATCTGTGTTCTGCCCTAGGTACGCTTCGACTCGGGACTCAGATCGTGGTTTCCTCCCTCCTGCTCCAAGTTACCCCCTACAGCGGTCCCCGCCCCGCAGCAGCCCCGGCTGACTACTGCTTGACCCGAGCCCAACTGTTGCCCCTCCCTGGCGGGTCACCTTGCCCACACGAGTAAGTGCCACCGGCGTTATCCAGCCTCAGCATCCCTGCTCACGCCTCTCCTTTGTCCCCTAGTGTTCCGAGCCAGCCTTCCAGTGTGGGTGTGTATCCTGGACTCCCTCATCATTACACTGTCAACTTCTTGTAAATAAATCTAAATGAACTGTTCTAATCTAATGATGGTGTTTCTGAATGTGGGTTAAACAAATTCCCAAAAGCGTGACACTTCCTTTTCTAACCTGAGAAGAATTTAAAAAAAAAAAAAAAAAATCATATCTTTAAAGAAAATAAGTACCAAATAGCTTTCTATTGCACTCCCACAAAAAACTTAAGATATTAAGTATAAAATTTTCCCTATAATGACCTGCAAAAACAAAATTCAAAATAAATACCAATTCCTGTGGGTTTTGTGACAGATTTTGAGACGATGCACTTTTTTTTTATTGCGACTTCATTAATGTTTTTAGAAAGACTCCCGTGGATATTGTACAAGAAATCTATTCCATCTTTAAGCTTTAATATCACAAAATCTGATCTTTTAACAGGGGAAGTAAGAGTTAAATTATATTAACAATGTAATCCTGTGGCTAAGTTTTATTCACAAACAACTGCTTTCTAAAAATCACCTCCATTTTTAAAGTGAAATATTTTATTTAGGAGTCATCAAACGTTGCAACATCACAAAAGCTCAATCTATACAGATATGTTAATATCTTAATTTAAGATTTTAAATTTGTCTTGCATTTATGACATTTTGTTTTATTTTCCTCACAGTTTATGATTTTTTTTTTCCTGCTCCATACAGTTCATCATATTAAACTTTATTACTAATTTGTGCCTTGTTTGTTTGTTGCCTCTGTTTTCTTTGAATTTTCTAAGACTGGGAAAAAACATTGCCATAAACCCGCCTTTCAACTCAAAACGTCTCATGCAGCAATAAATTGTGGGTAATACACTTCGAAGTCCATAAAAATGCGGACTTCATGTAAGGGTGGAAATAGTACCCGAAATGGGCAGGGCGAAGGGCGGATGTGGACAATGTGGACACACTACGCACTCAAACCCTTCAACATGAAGTTGAAGGACATTTGAAGGACACAAGGGCGGAACGAGAGTGGGAGTGCGTGTATTGCGACAGGGCTTGTGTTTGGGTCAAGGAGGGTTTTCCGCTATTGTGAGGACAATTACCAAAAATAAATAGAAATCTTTTTCTAACTTCAATATCAGACCTATGTTTTTATTCACAAGCCAGGGTATATTGGAAAATTAATATTCTTGCTCATAGGAGGAGGGGACGGAATTATGTCCCCCTCCTTACCATGGAACAGGTGTTCTAACTTTCTGTGCTACCCATGAATCCGGAGGCAAAGGCACTGAGAATCGTTCAGTTATTATTAGACTGAGGGGAGCCTGACTAATTTATTTTGTTAAATTGTTGCATAGATAAAAACAAAACAAATGTAAGAAAAAAAGTTTAAAACAAAACAAAACAAAAAACAATAACAAAGGGCACTTGGGGTATTAAGGTATAGGCTCAAGCTTTACTTATTGCTAATCAACCAATAAGTGAAGTTGAAGCTTATGACTCCTCATTTAGATAACAAAGCAGAAACGCATACTTCATGTAAAAAGATGAGACAGAAAAATCAAAATGAACAAATGAAAATAAATGACGTTTGGGCAGAGAACTAAATAAAATTGGAAAAAGGTAGGCATAAAACATAAACATATAAATTTAAAAACATATATTTTTAAATTTATAGTATGTGTATAATTTGATTTAACTAAACTGAAAAAATAAATATGAAGGTCAGCTAAAATGTATAAAACATATGGTAAAGTCCTCCTTTTTAAAATTAATTGGTGCATTTTAGGTGTATTGATTTATTTATTGTGCCATTTATGTATTCCTGCTTTTGTTTTTATTTCTGTCATTTTCGGTCCTCTCTATACTTCCAAAATGAAATCCTACATTGAGACAGTGGAGCATGTAGTAGTTGCTCCCAGCATACAGTCGAGACAACAAATTGCAGCTGGACATGCAAGACCTTTAGAACAAAGTTTTCAGTTCAGGATATTATTCTTTTTGTCGAAGTATCTTTAAAAGACGAAATGAATGGGGAGAATATCGATTTTTGTCTATTTTACCAATATGATTAGTATCTAGCGACCCGAACCACACTCAATTCCGGTAGGTGGCGGTAATGGGCGAAAACGTTGCTTTGCCAACCGCCATTAAACAAAAAGAAGAAATCGGAACTCTTTGTGTGCTAGTAACGCATTGGGTGCTGTGGTAGCTTCAACCATAAAATCGGTTTATAGCAGTTCTCTCTTTATTTTTTACAACAATATTCAAAACGTCGTACGCAATGAGGTAAATATGGTTAAATTCTGTTTGGTATAGTTAATACTTTAGGAGCAGTTTGCTTACTGATATAGGTGATTATGCGTTAGTAGCCTAGCTTGGTTTAGCTTGCGCAACTGGAGGCTAATTTGAAGTGAGCGCTGTAATTAATGTATGAATCAGCATTAAGGTAGAATTACGCCAAAGAAAAGAATCAGTGTTGTTCTATGGTGTGCAGTAGGTTATCTGTAGTTATTGACATCCTTTTAGATTGACGCAGTGCCTGTTAAATACGGCCGTTTTTACACGAACTAATGAATTGCCCATTTTATTTATTTATTTTTACTAAAAATGACATTTTTAAAACCAAATTTTATTTTACCATGTTTAACTTAATGACTGGCGTGTTTCTCAAAATGCACTTCCAACGTTTCGTCCTAGTAGTCTAACATTAGCTGCATGTATTTCCTGTGGATTATCTAACATGTTTCTGTGTTAATATGCAGAGGAGACCGCGGCAGAGGCCGAGGGGGCCGCTTTGGGGGTCGTGGAGGATTGGTTCAGGGGTGAGTGTGTTGTTAAATAAGAAATGTGTACGTTATAAATATATTAGAAACGGTGCACTGATCAGATTCACGGAAATTGTGTAACAGGTTTGCATCGAGATTTTACGGGCTAAAGAGTGTAGAAGTTGCAAACTTGATTTAATCGTGGGAATAATTGTGTCATTGCAGGGTGATTTGATTGAATGATTTGATGTTTATTGCATTATAAATAATTTTATAAAGAAAAAAACATCTATCTATAATAAAATCTGTCTATATGTATTTTTGTTTTCTTTTTTTAATTTTTTAATTTTCTTTTTTTATTGATTTGTTGGAAATAAACATATTCATATTCAATCTGGCACTGGAAGGTCCACTACTAGCTGCCACTGCCACAATTTGAGTTTGCTGTCTCTTTGGTCTTTGGAATATTTGCCCTGATGTTTACTTCTATAGCAAATGTAGAACCGCTAATGTTTTCTTACTTTCTTTTTTTACTATTTAGATATCGCCCATTTGTCCCACACATCCCATTTGATTTTTATGTGGTAAGTGATGGAAATGCGATGTGGTATTACAGTAGGTCATTTCTGTAATACCATATGGTATCACTGTAACAGTGATAGTAATATCACTATTACACTATTACAGTAAAATTAATCACTGTAATAGTGATAATGGACATTATATGTAGATTGCAAAGCTAGTTTTTTAGATGTGAATGGGTTCTAAGGTCTTAATGACCTACTGTAATACCATATTGCATAGTGCTACACAATGATCACCATTAATCACACAATAACTGTCTTTTCCAATAATTACAATAAGCTGTTAGTGAAGTAGAAGCATTGATGATCACCCATGGGTACTGAAGCAGGTTTCTGTTTGGCACCAGTGTGAGATGGCATTCCCCAGAGTAAAGCCTATGCCTGATGAAACTGCTTTCAGCGAATGTCTGCTGAAGAGAAACCAGGACCTGAGCCCCACACCTGCAGAGCAGGTCTGCCCCCGTCAACGTACTATCAAATTTTTTTAATCAGACATCATGCTCTCTGATAATCTGACCACCTTCCTTTTCTGTATCTCTTAGTCCTCCATCTTATCTTTAGTCACAAAGATAAATAATGTCATTGACAACCTGATTGTAGCACCTGGGAACTTTGAAGTAGTAAGTAACATGTCTTACATGTAGACCGGTTATTTTTTTCAAAAAGTAAGCATACTTTTCTGACAAACAAAAAAAAATAAAATCTCTGTGCAACTCTTGATAGCAAATTGAAGAGGTCCGTCAGGTTGGCTCATACAAGAAGGGCACTATGACGACAGGACATAATGTTGCTGACTTGGTTGTCATCCTAAAGATCCTCCCAACACGTGAGTTAAGGTTACAGTGAAGGAACATAAGCTCTTTGTTGCTTATTCAGTATGTATCACTTCTCCAGTGTTACCTTTGAGTCATTAAGGCTTCAAGTTTCTTATGTAGGCTGCTGTTTGATTATCACTATGTATTTTCCAAGTCTGAATGTCTTTGGGAAAATATTTGTATTTCCATACTATATTCCTTATCCCATTGTCTAAATGTTATATTTTTTCATCCAGTTAGTTCTCTGTTAATGAATAAGCACTGGAAAAGTATGGAATTTGACAAGAAAAATGTGTATGAACCCTGAGGCAATGGCTTTAAGCTTACTGATGATCTAATATTCCACTGGTTTCAGCCACTGACGTGTGTAGAGAAAAAGCAACGAGAGATCAGTTCATATGGAAGTTTGTCTCAAAAAGATTTACAAATGTATATGAAACAATGCATAACTGCATATCTAAACATTCACATGTATAAACAGTTTCACCAAATTTTACATGTTTCATGCTTACACATGTTGTACACTTAGAAATGTTGTGGTATGCTTTGTGAATTTTTTTGAGTAATTTAGCTCCATAAGTTCAGTTTAAAAATGTCCTAGTACAAACTTTTAATCAACGCTACAAGGTAATCAAGGGTTTTTATGGAAAACCATATGTAATTTAGTAATATGTGTGTATTAATCTTAAACAGTGGAGGCAGTAGCTGCTCTTGGAAACAAAGTTGTGGAGACCCTTCGCACCCAGGACCCCACAGAAGGTAAAGTCAGTGGAGAATACTGAGAGAGTTGTATCAGTCATTGGCATTTGCTGCAGTCATTTCCTAGGCTTTTTCATAAAGTTGTGGGTTTAATACATTTTAAAGCCCCTGGTTAATACACATTGTGATATTCAAAGTTACTTATCACCTAAAACCTCCAACCTTGTAATGTAATGTTAAATCATGATTCAGACTTGTCCAAAAACAGGAAGATAAAAAAATAAACCTTACATTTATCAGCTATGTTCCCAGTTTTGTCCAACTGTTGCAATACACTTTAACCAGCATGGCTTAAAAACAAAGTTTATTATGTAAAAGTAGAGGTAACACTTTATTTGAAGGGGGGTAAATAAGACTGTC